TTTCATATTTATTATAACCAGAATTATATTTTTAAAAATAAAAAATGAAAAATTAGAACCTGATCAAATAGTAAGCTAGGATTATCACCAAAAAAAAAAAAAAAAAAAAAAAAAAAAAAAAAAAAAAAAAAAAAAAAAAAAAAAAAGATGAAAAATAAATTGTGGTGACATGGCTTGTGTTTTGCCACGGTGGAGTCAATTAAAATTGGGTGAGTCAAAGGGTGCAACGACGTCGTTTTATGATGAGCTAAAGAGGGTTTTTTCAACTCATTCGATCCAGCCCTCATTTCTCTTCTCTAACTTCATTTGTTCCAGAATGTGCTAATGGGAGACGAAATCTGATACTCATCTATGGCTGGAAATCCTTGGGGTTCCAAATGGAGGCTGATCCTGGAGATGACTGATGTATAAATTGATTTCATCTAATATGGATTCGCAGCAAGGGGAAAAGAGAAGAAAGCTAGGGTTTCTTTGGGTTGTATTCTTCCTTGCTCATTCTGTTTTCTTTGTTCAATACTCTGTAAATTGTCTACTTGACTGTGATAGTAATGACATCCTATTTACGCCTTGAAGAGTGGATGTAGGCTACCCAGCCAAACCACTATAATTCCTTGTGTTGATCTTTATCTCTTTACTTAATCTGCTGTTTGGTTAAATGCTTGATGATTCATTGTTGTTAATCTGTGATTACTTTCATGTTTGGGGATTGGTAGTTAACCAAAGAATCGGAATCNTTGGTACCAAGACAAACACAACAAAAACTACTCTTCTTTGTAAACTTACACTGCTAATTAATGGCCTTTCAGGCTCGTCAGGCAGATCATTACAACCGCCTTGCTAAGGTTGGCAGGGAAGGCTTTGCTCTGTTGGAAGAGCTCGAATTTATCCGCCCACCGAAGAAGTTTGGGAACAGGCATCAACCCCCTCAAGCACATCCTCAGCATTATAATAACTATCAGTACGAGCATCTTCAACCTGCTAATTATAGGACCAGGCATCAGCCCCCTCAAGCACATGATTTTCATCATCATCCTCAGCATTATAATAACTATCAGTACGAGCCCGTCATAGATAGCAACCAGGCTGCTCAACTCTACGGTGGCAAGGTGGTTGTGGATCATAGTATATTAAGAAAACCAATTCCCAACGGTGGTTATTAAGCTTTTGCTTAATTTTCTTCAGAAATATGCATACTTAATAGCCTTAACGTGTGCTATCTGAAGTACGAAATTTGTAATATCTTCTTGTTATACTTTGTGTATTATGTATCTTTCTTGGTCTAGCTTAGTTTTGTGTAAGCCTAATGGTCTGTCCTTTGTTATATACTATATGCCTCTCCCTTAGTTATCTTAGTTATTAAGGAGTAGAGAGTGTCAAAGTTTTATCAATCTGAAACTTATGTAATTATGTTGAACGATCTGTGAACAGAGCCTTATTTATGCTCTGAAATTATGTAGTTAATATAAATGGGCTGTTGGGCACTTCCAGTCTTCTAATTATGCCTCTCTCTCTTTCATATTAGGATGAGACTTGAAGTTGAAAGGTTACATCCAGTGTTTTAAAGCCAGACTATACCGGTTGGTCCAACCGGTAGCCAAATTTCAATCTGTTTACGTTACGTGATTTAATCCGGTTTTGACTTTGAACCAAATTGACCCGGCATGAACAATAACAATAAACCAGACCAGACAAAGGAAACAAAATTTAAAAATTGAAATCCCTAATATCTAAAAATAAATCCTTCCGCCTCTGTATCATCGGCCGTGTGGTCCCTTTTCGCCCGTTCGACCTTCATCTCCTCTTTGTGATAGCTCCCCTTGTTTGTGATGGGTTTTGTTGTGACGAATGGTGGTGTTTTGTAGTGGATTAGGGTTTTCGTGGTGGCCTAGTGGTGGTTTTTCCAGCGTTGGAATGATCTGGTGTGGATTGCAGTGACAACGGCTCGGGTTTCTTGGCCAGATCACAAGGCTGTGTTTGTTGGATTTCAAACCTGCAGGGACTGATGAAATTTCTCAGGGGTATGTCTTTTAAGTTTCATAATAAGGTTTCATGCTAACATTACCGGTCCGACCGACCAAACTAGGGATCGGCCCCTTGACCAAGTCAAGGCCCGATCCGAGTATAAACGTGGTTACATCTTCTGCAAAATTACTCGAGTAACTTTGGAAGCCAAATTCTATATATATATATATTCTGAATCTCTGATCACTATCATCCTTTGCTTTCCATTTGTCATATGGTTTTTCAATGTGAATTAACCAACTAGATTTGTGTGCTCCTTGCAACTACTGTAGTGGGGCCACGATTGGTTTAAAGTATTAATAGAAATACAATTGTGAATATATTTATCCTAACCAAACATATCAATATAATATATTCATTAATTTATTCCAACATAACCAAACATTTTTCTCTTTAAACATTTTTAGTAATCTTCAAAATAATCTATCTTTCCATTAATATAACATTTCCACTAATACAACATTTCTTAAACTAAATGCACCCGTTAGGATTATTTGCGGAATAACGAATTGCAGCTGGACTCATACAACGAATCCTAGCTAGGCTCATACATCAGTTGATTTTCTCTTTCTCCTTTTTACTTTTCCTATCATTTAGGATGAAGCTTTTACTGTGTATCTAATTACCTTATCTTTTCACTACAGTATACAACATCAATTTGCAGTAACACAGATGTCAGCAAATAAAGCTTGGAAACCACAAAAACTAATGAAAAGAATAATCAACAGTTCAGTAACTACATGCCACTTTTTCAACAAAGTTTTACGAGATTATTCACCTGAATCCATGAATATGATAATGCTACTCTTCTTTCCTAGTAAAGCTTCAAATGAGATTAGGATCAGAAGAAGATAAGGTTTTCTGACGCTGGGTGTGTTACGTCTTAAAGATATGAACTCCTTGTCATCATCATGAGGCTTATTGTTAGACCAAGTCAATTTTGCATATATCCATGCATATCAACATGAAATTTAACCCCTACCACATCACTGGCATTCAAAAAGTGAAAGATTCACAACTTTGGAACCCTATAATGGACCATTTAAAGATTTGTTTCAATTTATTCATATATATCCATATTCTATATCTCTCTTTTTTCTCTGTTTTTTTTTTTTTTCTCAACCAATTTTTTAGGACCCTGAAATTAACGACCAAATAAACCCTCCAATGACCAACTCTATTAACAATAGAGGAAAATCTAACTCAAAACCTCTTAAATAATACACTCAAGAGTTCCTATTGGCCCGCTTGACCATCAAAGGGTGGTTAAAAAAATAAAAATAAAATAACCCGTCTTCAAAATATCCTGCCATTTGCAACCTCACATGACCTTGCCTTCTCGATTCACATATAAAGAATATTATTTTTCATATCTCATAAAAATGAACTTATGCTAATGGATTTGGAAGAGAGGGGAGGGAAAATTATTGTCTTCTCGATCTCTGGTTAGATAAAATTTAATTCATCTTAGTTGAATATCTATTATGGCAAGAATGAGTTGATTTTTTAGTTAATCGATTTCATAATTATTATGGCAAGAATAGCAAACTTTAGACACTAAATTAGTGGAAACTTTTACTAAAATTTTATTTTAAAAATAGCAAGCAAAAATTAGAACCTGATCAATTCAAGTAGAACTGTCAATTATAAGGAAGTAGCAAGCTAGAATTACCAATTATCACAAAAAAATAAAATAAAAGATGAAAAACTAAAAAAATAAATAAGAAAAGAAATAAAGAAATAAAACCGAAATTCTATAATAAAAAATTCACATCTATGGAGTTATCATGTATAGATCAATTGGTAGTTACAATTTCCCACATCAAAGATATTGTCTTCAGTCATGAGAAGAAAAGGTTCTCTATAATCCATTTTGGAGCATCTATTTATCTTACATAATTGACAATACCTTGCCTTTTTTCTTATGAATAAAGTGAAAAATGAGATATTATGAAGCTCTTTATACCAAAAGGTAGGGCATGCATAAGGATAAAGCGTCAAGTGCCCTGAAGTGTTGCTCTTTTTTTATTTTTATCTAACCAATTTGTTATATCTCACGCCCTAATTAACCAACAACAACCAAGACAAACAAGAATCAAGATAGATCACACACACACAAGAACACCAAGCAATTACCATGGTTCACTTGCTCAATCTGAGCAAGATACGTCCACATTGAGCCTGGGAAACAAGCAAGCTCGCTGCACTAACACTATCAAGATTATAGGTCAGATTACAGATAGTATTAACACCTTTTTAACCCCTTCTACAATCTGTAACTCACCCTAGAGACTCTACCCTTGGAATCCCTAATGACAATGTAATCAAATACACCTGAATGACCTGAAACCAGTCACTCAATCTCAAAGATACAAGATTCAACCACAAAATTCGTAAAACCTAACAGACTCGATTTTGCTCAATGAAGAAGAGAGAGTTCTCACGAAAATACTATCTCTTCCAATCTACCCAAAGTTCAGCTTTTATATGGTTGACCAAAAAACTAATGATAGCCTTTGGATCTTCTTCCCATCAATGCTTAGGATCAATTCTTGAAGTTTGCTTAAAATGACATCGTCTCATTTAAACCATAAAACGTCAACGTTTCAAGCCATCACAATAAAAATCTCCACCTTGATGGATTGAACCCCAGTAATAGTGCAGCTTGCCCAACATGAATCCTTCATTGCTCTTTGTTACCATTGCTTACTTAATGGACAACAAGTTCAAGCAATGCTTGAACTTTGCAAGGGTAACAATCTTCGTGCCCATGTCAACTAGGTTATGTTCAGTAGGTACCTTATTTAGTGCTATTTATTCTCTGGTGACAGGTCCCTAACAAAGTGGTAGTGCACATCTATGTGTTTGGTTCGTTCATGGTACATCGGATTTTTGCTCAGCTGGATTGCGCTTTGACTGTCTGGGAATATTGTTGGCTTCTGTTCTGTCAGATTTGCTTCACTTAGGATCCCTTTAAGCTAGATTGCCTCTTTAAATACATTAGTTACAGCCACGTATTCAGCTTCGGTTGATGACAACACAACTATGGGCTGCAGCTGTGACTTCCAGCTGATGCAATTTCCACCTAGGGTGAAGTAGTATGCTGTAGTTGACTTCCTAGTGTCCTTGTCACCTGCAAAGTCTGAATCTACAAAACCAACCAACTCAAGTGAAGCAGTCATTTTACAATACTCCAATCCAACATTCAATGAACCATTAACATATTTAAGAACCCATTTCAGGGCTATCCAATGTTCCATACCAGGATTGGACATGTACCTGCTTAGCAAAGATATCACAAACGATAAATCTGGCCTAGTACTAATCATAGCATACATCAAGGACCTAATTACATTTGCATAGGGTATGGATTCCATTTTAATTAATTCTACATCAATTTTAGAGCATTGAACTTTACTCAATGTGAAATGGCTAGCTAGAGGCATTGAGACAGGTTTAGTCCCTGCCATTCCAAACTTTTCCACTAACTTATACACGTATGAACACTGGTGGATTCTCAATTCACACTTATTCCTATTCCTATCAATATGCATGCCTAATATCTTCTTTGCATCCCCTAGGTCTTTCATTTCAAATTTAGCACTGAGTTTATTCGTTAACTCACATATTAGAGGCTTTGATTTACTTATTAGAAGCATGTCATCTACGTACAAGAGTAAGAAAATAGGCATGTTATCCCTAATGGAAAAATAGAAATAGTTGTCGTACCTACTCCTTGTGAACTCTATACTTACAATAAAGGTGTCAAACCTTTTATACCATTGCCTAGGGGATTGTTTTAGGCCATATAAGGACTTAAGCAGTAAACAGACCTGGTTTGGAGCCTTTTAATCTATGAATCCTACTGGTTGGCTCATGTAGATTTCTTTATCAAGATCTCCATGTAAGAAAGCAATTGTGACATCCAACTGTTAAAGTTCCAAATCCGGGTGGGCTACTATGGATAACATTAGTCTTATGGTTTTGTATTTGACTACTGGGGAAAAGACTTCATTGAAGTCTATTCCCTCCGTTTGGGTAAAACCCTTGGCTACTAGTCTAGCCTTGTACCTAAGGGGTTCCTTAGTAGTGATACCTTCCTTTAATTTGAACAACCATTTGCATTGTATTACCTTTTGATCCTTTGGCTTTGGTACAAGTGTCTAGGTTTTGTTTACCTCTAAGGACTTCATTTCAGCTTCCATGGCAGTTCTCCAGTTGTTCCTCTCCCTTGAGTTCATGGCTTCCTCATAGGTTTCTGGTTCTCTTCTTTGTACTTCAGTACCTGCAAGAAGAGCAGTGTATATTAGGTCAGCATAGGAATATCTCATGGGTGCCCTTACCTGTCTTCTGGTTCTGTCTCTTGCAAGTTGGTAGTCTTGTAAGTCCTCAGGTTGTGGCTCAAGGGTTGCTGCTGGTACAGTGTCACCTTCTAGGTCTGGATCAGCCTGTTCAGTGTCATCTTCTGGTTCCAGTGAAACTCCAGTTTCTTGGGTGGCTTCTGTTTCTTGTGAGTGTTAAGGTAGGCCAGGAGGCTCCACCTCAATTGGTGTAACCTCTAGCTAACTTGAAGTATCCTCTGTACTTGAAGTTGAACCTGCATCATTGTTAGTTCCTTTAGAAGGAAAAACCCCCTCATTGAATATTACATCTTTGCTCACAATAATCCTAACCCCTAGTGATTTCCTATCCCAAAGTCTGTAGTCCTTAGTCCCTTCTTAATACCCTAAGAAGATGCATTTGGTTGATCTAGGTTCAAGCTTTCCTCTAACAGTGTGTGCATAGGCTGCACAACCAAAGACTCTTAAGTGACTCAAGTCTAGTCTTCTGCTAGTCCACATCTCTTCTGGACACTTTAGATTTATCGCTATAAACGGGCTCTTATTTACCAAATATGCTACGGTGGTAAGTGCTTCTCCCCAAAAAGAGGTGGGGAGTTTGGAGGTAATTAGCAGACACCTAAACTTATCAAGGAGGGTTCTATTCATTCTTTCAGCCACTCTATTCTGTTGTGGGGTGTATTTCACTGTCCTATGCCTCAAAACCCCTTGATCACTACAGAATTTGTCAAATTCTTGGTTGCAAAATTCCAACCCATTGTCGGTTCTAAGAACCTTAACCCTTTTGTTCATTTGATTTTCTACTAGGAGTTTCCAGTCCCTAAACCTTGCTAGGGCTTGATCTTTGGATTTTAATAGGTACACCCACACCTTTCGGCTGTAATCATCCACCAGAGACATAAAGTAGCTGTTTCCCCAAAGAGATTTCACTTTCCCAGGTCCCTACAGGTCAAAGCGGATGTATTCTAGTTGGCTAGTGGCTAGATGTGTCCCTTTTGTGAAACTGTTCCCATGTTGTTTACTTAGGATGCAGTTCTCAGAGAAATCAAGTGATGAGACATTGTCCTTACCAAACTGCCCTTTATGTTTCAGGATGTCCATACCTCTTTGACTCATGTGGCCTAATCTAAGGTGCCATTTCTCTATAGTGGACAGGTTAGCAGATACAAGCACAAAATTAAAACACTTTTGGGCATGGTTCCCACAGAGTATATAAAGGCCATTTCTTTTCTCTCCTTTCAGTATCAGGTTTTGATTCCTGTAAATATTCAAACATCCATTCTTTGCTCTATAGCAGTATCCTGATTCATCTAAGGTACCTAGAGAGATCAAGTTTCTTTTAAGCTATAGGATATACCTAACCCTTGTTAGCTTTACCAACTTCCTAGTGTTAACCTTTAGTGTCACAGTGCCTATCCTTCTCACCCTACATGCATTGTTATTTCCCATGTACACAGTTGCATGGTCAGTGTTTTCAAACTTCTAGAACTAGTCCCTATTTGGACTCATGTGGAAAGAGCACCCTGAGTCCAGCACCCACTCATCAACAGTGTCAGACATTGACACAGTAAGGACTTTAGGTTCCTCTAACAGGTTTTTAGTGGAGGCTAAGTTACTCTCTATGTTCTCCTATTTTTGCTTCCTGATCCACTCAAAACAGTTCTTTTTAATGTAGTTAGTTTTATTGCAAAAGAAACATTTTCTTGATTCTGTTTTGTTCTTGTTACTGCCTTCCATTTTTTCTTATTTCTAGTCCCCTCATGTGTCTAATTTCCCTTCCTAGTCTGACTAGACTCGACTCTGCTCTTAACAAACAAGTTTGTGCCATTTCGTTTCTGGACCTTTAGTTCTAATTCTCTAACCTTAAGCCCTGCTGTTATTAGGTCCAGATTTGGTACAGTACCAGAGTACTGTAGGGCATTTTTGACTACTTAGTATGTAATAGCTGCTCTCTACTCAAGTACTCATAAATTATACATAATGAAAATACATATAAAATAGTATAAAGAGTTGGGCCCAAATTTTTCCTTTATTAAACATATATATTTTTTACACAAAATTCGTATCATGTACAAAAGTTATCAACAACTATGTGGACAGTGTAGCCATTTCTCCTCGCATGCTGACGTCCATCCGACCGTGTCCTCACCTAGATCCTGCAAAACATAGGAAACAACAAGGTGAGCACTAAAACAATACTCAGTAAGTAAATCCTCTACTCATCTAACTCAGCTCTCCCTGTAACTCTCTCTAATTCTTTCCTTACAATTCTCATTTACTCTCTCTCTTATACTTCCCTCTATTTTCTCTTACTCATAACTCTTTTCTTCTCTTCTGTAAGTCACAATCTCATCTTACCAGAGGCACAGCCGGGACTCGCTCCCGCTCTCCGTGACTTCTACTCATTCTAGCCGTTCGGACTCGGTTATGCATGGATTCGGAAACCTTGGCCATGTGAGTGTATAAACTCTCTCTTAGGTACTCTCGGGTATAGCCCTCATCCGCATGTACTCTCACGGGCTACACCACTTTTCTCTCTCATACTCAAGCTGCTCTCTCTCTTGCGGCGTGCATACCATAATACTCTACCCATTACTCACGGGTTCCCCATCGCACAACCTACTCTATTATCTTTTTCTCTTTTTTTTTCTTAATAAAGCTCACACTCAAAGTTCTCTACTCTCTTTCTCTTAATACATATGGATGACTCATGCTCATTAATACACCCATGAAATGCAATTATGTCATGTAGCAATAATTAAGGTTCTCTACTTTTACTCATGCCTTACTCAATCATTTCATCATACAACTCATGTGCATATAAAACTCTACTTGATCTATAACTTTTCTCCTCTCTTTAATCATCCAAAATGGGAGAAACTCCCTCATACTCTCTAAGTTTCTGTCAAAGAAAAACACTCCCAAAGGGTTTGGCTCAAAACTCTCTCCAACTTCCATCAAACTCAACTCAAGCTCAACTCAACATTATAAAATCCCAACTCTTCTCATAACTCAATTACATTCAACAATAAATATAAATAGCCATCCATCTCATCACAATTTCTCAATAAACATAATACATACACATACATACATAAATCTCTACTCAAAAGAGTTATTAAATCTCAACTTGGGTTGGATTTACTTACCTTGTGGGTAAATAACTTCTCTAGCACTTTTCCTTCCCCTTGTTGTCTTGTCTTGTCTCTACAACTTTAAACAACAATAACAACATAAGACTTCAACAAATCATAAAGAAATTCTCATCTAAAGCAAGAATCCTTACCTTAGGATGCTTTAGATGAAATCTCTACTAACAACTACCCAAAAGCTCCCTAAAATTCCTTAGAAGTCTTGGAAGATTGAATAAAGGATGGGAAGAAAATAGAGAGTGAGAATGGCGGTGGAAATGGGTGAAATGAGGGTTTACTATACTTAATCCCTTGTTTAGCTCATATTGTAACCATTGTTTCCCATTTTGCCCTTGCTTTTCCTTAAAAATTCAATCTTTGTCCTTTGATTCATTACAAACACACCCCCAACTCCAACACATTCTCTACTAAATTTCCTTACATTTTACTCCCCACTTTTCCTGCTAATTAGGGGTAGAATAGTCATTTTACCCCTATGGAGAATTCTCTAGAACTCTCAAGAAACTTTTCTGCCATCCTGTCGTCGCGGTGAAGCAATTTCCATTGCCCCGACGAAAAATTACAGAAACGACATTGCAACACAGAGCTGACGTCGCCATGGCGAAGACTGTAATACCAAGATTCCTCAAATCTTAACCAATTTCAAGGCAAACACTCAACCAACTCAACATTCCATTTCAACCAAAGACCAACCAACCAAAAATAACAACATACAAACTCAATTGAAGCTAGATCAATGAATATTTAAGTAATACAACAAATCTTAACTACGTACCTCAAATGGGGCGTTACATGGTAGTCATCAGTCAGAGAGTTTAATAGGATCATTGCTAGGCTAGTTTCTCC